ATTGTACACACAATGTGTGTAGCTTCACAGAATCGAAGAAAGACCGCACAAAAGAGAATGAAAATATATGCCAGACAAGAAATATATGCCAAATATATGCCAAATACGTGCAGTTATACACATTTATTTGCGCATATTCTAGATATGCGGCATTATATTTCAATATTTGCCTTAAAAGTAGTATACGTTTGAACATAAAAGCCCCCAGAGTATAAGTAATTGTTTCAAAGTATGAATTTCCTTGATTCTTTCAGGCAACAAAGATATTGCAAGACTTCTCATCCAACATGGCGCTAATGTTTATGCACAGGACAAACTTAAATGGACGCCACTCCATGTAACTGCAATACATGGTAATTGTCCAACTAATTTCTCTGGCTCAAACTGTGTTTGAAACCACACAATGTAATCGCACCTTTTCAGTAAGCGCGTTCTTGTCAGGAGCTTAGAGGTGGCTCCTGATAAGCGCGCTCTTCATGCGTGACGATTTCATTCTCTGTTTCAAAATATGAATTCCAAATAATCTTTCAGGTAAATACGATGTGGCTGACATTCTCATTCAAAATGGAACACATATTGATGCACGAGATACTTTGAAATGTACGCCTCTCCATTACACTGCCATAAATGGTAATTGTCCAAAACGAAATCTAGCCATACATTTATGAATTTTTCAACGTGTGTATCTGTGATTAAATTTTCAGGCCATAAGGATGTGGCTGAGCTTCTAATTCAACACCAGGCTAAAGTTAATGCAGAGGAAATAAATAAATGGACACCGCTACATTCTACTGGAAAATTTGGTAATAATTCAAATAATTAATTCAAATTATGAATTTAAATGTTCGTTTGTCATGTCAGGTCATCGGGATGTAGCTGAGCTTCTTATCCTTAACGGGGCCAATATAAGTGCAGAAGAGAGTATAGACCAATGGACACCTCTCCACTTAGCTGTGCAAAACGGTAAAAATACAGGAAAAAACTAGTTGAACCATGCATTTTTTCAATGCATTTATAAATTTTCAGGCAACAAGCATGTGGTTGATCTATTCATTCAAAAAAGTGCTAATGTAAACGCAATAGATAAAGACGAACAAACGCCGTTACATTTAGCTGCCAAGAAAGGTAAGAGTCCAAAAAAGCGAAGCGAAATGTTAATCTTTATGATAGAAAATGTCATTTAAAAAAATAAAAAAATGACAGGTGAAACGATTATTGGCGAGCTTCTCATCGAGCATGGCGCAAATGTAGATGCGGAGAATATACAAAAAAGAACGCCGCTACATTTCGCCACAGAAAAAGGTAATAAAAATGTGGTTGACCTCCTTATCCAAAACGGGGCCAACGTTAGTGCAGAAACAACAGATAAATGGACGCCTCTCCATATCGCTGCAAAATTTGGTAATTATGAAAAAAACCAAGTTGGAACTGTAAACTCCTTTAAATACCCGAATCTATGCTTAACATTTTAGGGAGTAAAGATGTTGCTAACCTTCTTATCAAACAAAAAACTGACATCAATGCAGAAAATATAGATAAATGGACGCCTCTTCATATTACTGCCAAATTTGGTAACGATGAAAAAAAAAAACATCGAACTCTGTGAACTCATTCCAATGTTGTAATGTACATTCCAGGTAATAAAGATATGGCTGAGCTTCTGATTCAAAGCGGTGCCAATATTGAAGCAGAAGATAAAAATCAATGGACACCTCTGCATGTTGCAGCAAAAAATGGTGAAAGACTGAATGAAATTATGAATTCCATTTAATGTTTAATTCTTTGATTTCCAGGTTTCAACGATATTGCCGAACTTCTCATCGAAGAACATACAGCGAATATCAATGCCAAAACTAAAGATGATCAGCGGACAGCTCTCCATATAGCGTCACAGTTTGGTAATTGTGCAAAATAAAGGAATAAAACTATGAACGTTTTTTTTATTCAATATTTTCTTGATTTCAGGTAAAGAAAGTATGGTCAAGCTTCTCATCTGGCACAATGTTGATGTTAATGCAAAGGACGTAAATGAACAAACTCCACTCTATTTAGCCTTACAAAATGGTATGTATAATTCCATTTCTCATTTTAACACAAACATGTTGAGAATTTTCAAACAAATCACGCGTTTCTTCGGACAATTTTAAAACACATTTGATTGTACTGTTTTGAGCCAAAATAATATCAATAATGTCCTTGGATTTCAGGCAATGTAGAGGTAATTAAATTGTTGCTTAAAAATGGAGCATATAAAAATATCAAGGATAAAGATGAAAAATCGCCTGAAGGCATTGCTACAAGATTGGGTAAGTGTGCACCATATAAGTTGTGGAGAAATCAATAAAATGGATTTTGTCTATTGATTTTCAGGTAATCCAAGAATTGTTAATTTATTCAAAGAATTTGGTCTTCTTTGGTCATATTAATAAAATCAAATGCAGATGACCCAAAATACGTTTAATACGTGGAATTTTTTTACATTTATACAATCAGAAGAATCATTCTTTTCGAAACTATGTACCGATTAAAAAAATATTTGACTTTTTCATAATGAGAGAAACATTTTCCCCTATTTTTCAAGTGTAAAAATATTGTACTGTCGCCATAGGTAGACAATGACACCTCAAATAAATAATAATAAAAAAGTAATGAGATGCAAATGAATTATATTATTATTAACAATCATTTTCAAAGATTTTAGTCTAGGTTCACATACGCTACTTGTACGAGGGTTGCTCCATAATTTTTTTTAAAAACATATATAACACAGTTGTTTTTTGTCGAAAATGGTTTTATTGTTTTTCAAAATATTCCCCGAGATGATCGATACACTTTTGCATTCGATGAAACCATTTGTCATAGCATTCGTGCCACTCCGAAACTGATATCTCCAAAACGTGTGTTTTGAACGCTTCAACTGCTTCTTCTGGTGTCGAAAATCGTTGACCACGTAGTTTTTTCTTCACGCTTGGGAACAAAAAAAAGTCATTGGGTGCCAGGTCAGGACTGTACGGTGGATGACCCATCAGTTCGATGTTTTGACCGGTCAAAAATCGAGTAGTTTGAAAAGATGTGTGAGAGCTCGCATTATCGTGATGAAGAATTATTTTGCGACGGTGGTTGTTTTTTCTTATTTCACCAAACACTTCGGGCAAACAAATGGTGGTATACCAATCAGAATTGACGGTCTTACGATCCTCTAGTGGAACGGTTGCCACATGACCACTTCTCCCGAAAAAACAGGCGACCATTCGCTTCGAAGTGCTTCTTGCTCGAACAACTTTCGTTGGGTTATCTTCATTTTGGAAGACCCATACAGTCGACTGCTGTTTCGTTTCGGGCTCATAGGCATATATCCACGATTCGTCACCAGTGACGATTTTATTAACGTCTTTTGAAGCACCACGATTGAATTTCTTGAGCATTTCTTTACACCAACTCACACGAGCCATTTTTTGTTCATCGGTCAATTTATGTGGGATCCAACGAGAGCAAATCTTTTTTACGGCTAAATGTTCATGCAAAATTGTATGTATGCTGTGGGATGAAATGCCCAAAGATGCCTCAATCTCACGGTAGGTCACATGACGATCTTCCATAATCAGTTTTCTGACAGCATCGATGTTTTGTGGCACAACAGCCGATTTTGGACGACCTGTATGAAACTCGTCTTTGAGCGAACTACGACCGCAACGGAATTCTCGGTACCAGTTATAAATTGTCTGAAGGGTTGGTGCTTCATTGCCAAAGGCCAAATGAAGTCGATCGAAACACTGTTGTTGAGATAATTTACTTCGAAAATCGTAGTAAATCATTTTACGAAAATCTTCACGTGTAAAATTCATTTTTTTGTTGAGTCGCAGTTTACCAGTCACTGTAAACAATACAAATAGCGTTCGTACGACAAAAGGTTCAGGGCACGAATACATACCAAAACATCAAACTTTACGAATATGACAATGGTTTACATCGGGCAACACTATAAGTACCATTTTAAAAAAAATTATGGAGCAACCTACGTATGATGCCTGGATTCTCCCATAGTATTTTTTTTTAAATATGGAAAAAATCCCTTTGGATCAAGTGGCCACCGAATTTTAACTCAGGCTTGACTTTTTTATGTAATTGGCAAGACGATAAACGTCCCAACCCAATCAAAAAAATTTAATTTTCAGAGAGTAATATGAATCCAATACAAAATAATTTAAATAAATGAAGTAGTGAGTATCAGACGGACCATTCAGAATTGAGAGGCGAACGTATCGCAACTTACATCTGATCAAAGCTTTGCGAAATATTTCATTTCCAAAGAATATCTCCAATATATTCCCCATAAGGAATTTGTTGGTGGTTAAATAATAATTAATCTAATTTTTTTTCCTGAATAAGCGAAAGTATAGTATTTCAAGTTATTCTAAGTCGAATACAGTTGAATCCGCAAAAATAATAAATTTAAATTCTGTCAGTTGAAAACATGTAATGGTTTAACGTTGAAAATAAAATGAACACATAAGTTGAAATTTAACTGCTTACATCAAATCTGACGTATGCTAAAGCTATTATGGCACAGGATATCACTCTCATTACGCAGCGTTCATTTTAATATTTAGTACACTGCCAACTGACGTGCTATTTACATTCTTTACTTTTCATTGTGTTCAGTCCGAAACGTACGTATTTTTCGTCATTCCTCCGGCGATTTATTAGATTTTAAAATAAAAATTGTTTTAATTCATAACATTTTAGTATTATAATATTATATCTAATACCTGTCACTATATAAAAAAACGTACTTCTTGCTACTGTTAACAAATTGTATCGTTTTCAAGTGGAGAAAAGTAAAATTATAAAAATAAGTGATGGCCAATGTAAATGCTGAATCTGATGTTGAGCTCGAAACAACGGTGGCTGTTCAAGTTGTAACAAAAGACAATGATTCATTTCAATTGGATATTGATAAACTCAAAGAAATACTGGAAACTGACGAAATTAAAGACCGATATGTTGTCGTCGTATCGATTGCTGGAGCATTTCGAAAAGGAAAGAGTTTTCTCTTAAATTTCTTCATCAAATATTTGAACGCACAGGTAATAATAAAAAAGTGCCGTCACTGCATATTTCACTTTTTCAGTAAACTATGATGATAATTTAAAAGGCCTGTCTTGAAATTGTGTGCAATTGTAAATCTATATATCATGTATCTTCATAAACAATTGCATTTACAACAAATGATTTTAGCTCATCAGCAATATTGTTTTTTTTCTTCTTCATAATTCTATTCGCAAAAATGTGCAACATCGACTATAATGCTTTGTGTACAGTGTACACATTTACTTTAAAAAAAAACCGTACTCATACCGCAATATCCATGTTTATTATATAGCGACGTGAGTCGCTGTGTGTATCAACTAACGCATGCGTTTCACACTCATTTTTTTGGCATAGAACCGTTTATTAAGCCAGTATACTGTCCATACTTTTGTAAAAATTGAAAGAGTGGATCAATAAATGGCATTGAAAACGATGAATAATCAAATATTTAAAAGTTTAACACATTGTTGTGTCTTTAACAGTACAAACGACGTGATGTCACAGAATGGTTATACGAGACTGCTCATAACGGTGCATTTGGTGGATTTGCATCCAAAAGCGGTCGAAAACCGATCACGTCGGGAATTTGGATGTGGCGCGAAATATTCACCCATGAATTGGCGAACGGTGATAAGATTGCAATAATTCTAATAGATACACAGGGCATTTTCGATCATCAAAGCACCCCAAAAGAATCTACAACAATTTTTGCACTGAGTACAATGCTTTCATCGGTTCAGTGCTACAATTTAAAGGAAAATATTCAAGAAGATGATTTACAGCATTTGGAATTATTCACCCAATATGGCCGTCTGGCTTTAAACCAATCAAAGGAAACACCATTTCAAAAATTGCTTTTCATTGTGAGAGACTGGCCATATGCAGAGGAAGGCTTTGGATTCGACGGACAAAAAGTCTTAGACGAAATTCTTGCTGAAACCAATGTACAATCTACGGACATGCATCAAATGCGTGAAAATATTAAAATGAATTTCGAAAAAATCGAGGCGTTCTTAATGCCATACCCCGGCAAAAATGTAGCATTCGGACCATTCTCCGGGACTTTGCAAGAAATTGACAAAGAGTTTTTAGACTATGTAAAAATATTAGTACCGTCGTTGCTTGCCCCTGAAAATCTCGCCATTAAAAAGATCAACGGTCAAAAGGTACGAGCTCGCGATTGGATTAAATTTTTGGAAAAATATTTTGATGTTTTCAGTGGAGACAAATTACCTAAACCAACATTCATTTTAAATGTATATGACATATGTGTGCTATTTACGTATTAGTAACGTCCTAAATTTCACGATTCTTCTTCATTTAATTAGGCGACAGCCGAGTTGAGCAATCAGATTCTTTACGATGAATGTATGAAACATTATGTTGATAAAATGGAAAAAATGGTCAGGAAAGTTGATTCATTTATTGAGGAAAATGTTCTGACCAGATGTCATATTCAAGCCGAAAATGAAGCCGTTGCTAAGGTACAAGATAGATTTAATTCAAATAAAATGATTCAATTCACAGAAATTTATAAATCAATTTATTCCATCTAAATTGTAGTTTTCGGAAAAACCGAACATCGGAGGTGATAAGATAACTTCATCTTTCGTAAGCCGAATTAAAGAAAAGATTGCACAAAAATACACATCGCTTAAAAACGAAAATGTCATTAAACGCCGCAATTATAACGTATGTATCAAGTTTTAAATCTCGAATTTCTATATAAAATGAACTAATGCGAAATTTATAAAATTACAGGAGTATATAGAAGGTTTGCGCCATGAAATAAGAGCTAATTTCGAAAGTACTATACACAGATAAATCGAAAGTGCGCATCAGAATGATGCAGACCTTACTAATCTAATTCGAAATGAAATACGTTTGGCAAAGGATACGGTATGTAATATATTTATTACGCCATACATTATTGAAATTTCCATTTCTTTTTAGTTTAATGATAAGAAAAAGGGATACAATGAAATTTGCAATAAAAACTATGCTATGCTACATCGGGATCTATTAAATTCATCAAGATATTTTATCGAATTGAATAAGATGAATAAGGTGCAACAAGTTGCCAAGGGTATGGTGGCAGGAGCAGCGGTGGGCGCATTAGCCGGGGTACGTTTCGGAATTTTTGGTTTAGTAGGTGGAACAATTGGTGGTGCGATATTTGGTGCGATTTCCAGCAGTCTTGATTAATTATTGATTTTTAAACAATTGAAATCATTGGATCCATTCTCATTAAATTTTCCAATGATAAAAAAATAGAATAAACAAATAATTTGACTTTACTTTATATATAAGTTATAGAAATCGAAGAAAAATTCTTAATAAAATGTTTAAACTAATCAAAAGTGATTTTTACCATATTCCCAAATTCTTGTATAAGAAAGAAGTGTATCGAAACTTAATTTCATCGCAAAATAAATGTCAGATTCAGTCTTTTTATGCCAAAGATTCTCTTGAAAATTCAAAAACGTATTTTTACTTAAATAGATATTTTCTTCGACCCTATATGAACAATTTCGGAACAAGTCGATTTTAATGCGAAACCGTTTGAAAGATCAGAAAAATATAGCCTAAAAACGTGTCTCGGAAGCATTTTTATTCTCAAAACGGTAAAATCAATATTCACACTTATTATTAAATATCATTAGAGCAGTAATGTGCGAAGGGGGGGGGGTATTCGCGAGAATTTGCTAGGGTTTTTCACGAAACGGCTTTTTTTTTAGCTCATCAATGTAGAAAATTGAGTGGAATTATTTCAATTTGCTAGGGTTTTTGGTTCCGAGAGATTTTTTTCCGATTTGCTAGGGTTTTTCGCGGAGAAGATTCTTTCGATTTGCTAGGGATTTTCGCCTCAAAAAGTGACTTCCAAAAAAAAAAAAAACGAAAATTTGTCTGATTTGCTAGAGAGTTTTTTGTTTTTGAAAAGTCCTGATTTGTCAGCCTTCCATCGAGCTGGAGGCGGGTTGATTTTGTGGCATGGCTTAGGCGATCCTCATATTTCTCCAGCAAACACCATTGCGTTGCGTAAGGCAATGAATTATTTTATGGGCCATCAAATCGTTGAAGAATTTGAACGGCTTTATCTGCTGCCTGGTGTTTCGCATTGCGGAAATGGTGAGGGGCCAGGAAATCTTGACCTACTATCTCCGATCATGGCCTGGATTGAAAATGCAGTCGCACCAGATGCGATCATCACTCGCACCTCAAGCCAGCATTGCAATTTCGGGGCGCCAGCTTTCGGCGGCCACAAAAAAACCATCGGTGCAGCAAAACCCATTGAACCTGTCATGCCCATGTCGAGACCAGTGTATCCTCACCCGTTCGTCGCTCACTACACTGGCCAAAGTGACATATACGCTGCATCAAATTGGGTCAAAGGTGAACCGAAAGCAACTGTGCTGACCAGATGCATTCAACCATATGCATTCGCCGACGAATAAAAAATATTGAATAACATCTTTACTCATCTTAGGTCAATTCGGGAAATTTAAACTAATTATTATGGTTCCTTTTTTAACTTGTTCAAATCAACTTTTTACATGCTTTTTAAATTATATAAAATAATAAACTATAAATAAACAAATTCAGTTATTTTGAAGCATCACAATGCTAGCATCTTTCATTTTAACTCGATTCAATCATAATATATAAATTTTTTAAATATTCACTTTCACTTATTGCGGACCTCAACTGAAAAATTCTTCGGAATGAGTTGAACACTAAAGAGTTCATGTTCTCCACTCAAATAAGAATAGCGGCTATATAAGCATTAATTATGTTTACTTTATTTATAAATTAACTCGGTTTAATTTTAGAGTTGATTTTTTAGTTAATATCACTGATTATCTAGTGTATAATAAATTATAAATTTTTTAAATGCAAGTGAAATAACTATCAATTCAGTTACTATAACTGTAATTCAGATATTCGCTACTGCTGCCTTGATCTTTTAGTTTGGGACGCCATAAGTGGTGGCTGGTGGTCCATAAACGGAGGCCGGAACGTTGTAAACTGTTGGTACTTGGATTTCAACTTTTGGTGGATAGTTGTAGTTTGTGAAATCGAGTTCTGGTACAAATCGGTATACAGGAGCCTGGGTGACAACTTCCTTCACAACGTTTGGTTCGGCACTACCGAAGCTCTTGGTCAATT